CAGGACTACGATGAGTAGCAGGAGCAGGTCTGCATCACCAGCTTCTGACGCTATGCAGAAGTATGCATTGGTGGAATGGCTGACCGGCTCCTTCAAGGGCACATTCACACACAATGTTGAGGTAGAGTGGATCGACGATTTTGACGACTCGGAGATGTTTCGGCCCACGGGTCATGCGATCGAGTGGAGGGTTGCACCCAAACCCAAGAGCGGCTGGCACGTCTACACCGGAAGGGTTCATAAAGTAAGCTCTAAGTAGTGTGTTCTCAATTTCTTTCTCTTTTTTTCTTAGTCGTCCTTTTGTGCTCTTGCCTGCATTAAGTTTGTATTTAGTCATTCTAATTTCATTGGTTGCAATATTTTAAAATCTTTTGGTCACTCTTTTAATGTTTTATGTTGGCTTTATTTCAGATGAACTTGACTTTTTAAAGCGGAGGGAGTCGGAGTTGAGTAAGGTCAGGCGGGATGAACAACTCAGTCCTCGGAGGCATGACCCATCTACCCCAAACTCTCGAGTAAACACACCGCGTGTCAATCAGGATGTTTCTGCACAAGGTAGGTGTATAACTGAATTCTTGAATCAAGTTATTTTATACCTTTATTGTTATTCATTCTTATATTTTTTTTCTTTCTGCAGAAACTTTTGCAGAAACTAGCCAACATGATCTCTCCAGCTACTCAGAGGGCTGGTGTGCCGACCACACCAACAGCCCAGTCGGAAAATGAGTTTGAGCATTTTGTGAGTTATTTACTGCATTAAGTTTATTAGTTTATCCTTGGTATCTCCACACTGATTTCTATCGTTTTCATTGCCAGGTTAAAATTGGGAAGTCGTTGCTAGTTCCCAGAAGTGTGTATTTAGAGGCCCAAGCATCCCGATCACCTTCTGCTATGACCATGGGGCTTATTAAGGCCGCTTTCAGCCGCTCAAAATTGAAGAAGAGCTCGTATGCTGGGCAGAAAAGAACCAGAGATGGCGTCTCACTTCAGAAGCCCGGCCTGAAGAAATACCAGGCAACGCAAGACATACAAGGTAACATTACTTAAGAAAATACCATCAACTATAAATCCACTCGTGAGATTCTAAATCACTTTTTTTTTCAGATTTTGTGCGCTCTAGGTTCAAGGTTAGCCAGTCAACTTTTGGTTTAGCAGTGAATGCATGTCTGGGTAACAAAGCCCCGAAAAAGAAAAAAGTTGAGGTATGTGTAAACTTTAGCCTGTTGCATGAAAATCAATCTAGTATTCTGTGTTGAAAGTAGCTTCCCTTTCAAAATATGAACTGCCATTTGTGTTGAGTCAAATCAATTACCAAATAACATTAGTGTTCAAACCACTAAGCATTGTCTTTTGTCTTTTAAGTTTGTTTCATTTCTAATTACAGTTCGTTCAAGAAGTTAGTGATAATGAGGACAGTGATGGTATTATTGACGATGACTCCGCTTGACTCCCCTGGAAGTGAGGGACTTCAGCCGAAGTTTGTACTTATTTTATATTTTATCTTAGTTTCTCTGCCTTTTTATTTTAAAGGGTTTTAACAGAGATTATTAAGTCCTTGGTTGGTTTAAATGAAATAAAGTATTTCAAGTGTCAATCAATTTATTTATTCCATATTCCAGCTTCAATGTTTCTTTATCCAAATTTTCAACAAAATACGATACCACACCACTCCATACCAAATCTATTACACAGCATCAATACTCTACTTGCAATAGTACATGGTTACAAACAAATAAAATACTTAGTTAAGCCAACAGTTCAATATCAGAATTATCAGAAAGGAGATTTCAACATTACAATCTGTTCTTGCCCCTTGTCCTGGCTTAACCCTACTTTCACCGCATGGGAAGTACCTGTAACATCAGAAAAGAAAATTATTTGTAATTTGGCACACACTATACTTGTGTCATTGTTTCGCTAATATGAGATCTCTGGCACTCGGCACGAAGATCTCATCAACTTGGCCAATTAGATAAATACCTTCAGAAGTCCCACACGAAAATCAACCATTCTCGTTAGTAACAAGTCCGCGCCGGGCAGTTAACGTTTTCACTTCCACCTCTTTAGCGCCCGCAAGAACGGTTATCTAAACGCCTGCAATAATGAACACCTAGGTAAATCGCCAAACAATTTAGATTCTCTAAATCAACAAACTTCGTAACCGCAACCGCAAGTACAATAGCCAGGGCAGACGACGCTAAACAAAAGAAGCTGGACTAGCCGCAGGCAACAGCAAGCCAGTTGTGACGTAAAGTGGCGTTGGCGTAGGTGTGTTGTCTGCTAGCCTATTGACAGTACTTGTTTATCTTGCTTAAATCATCATCTTTATTATTACTGGGATGATTTCGCATTCAAATTTGTTTGTTCTCTTATGAATGTTGGTCGGCTGGGCTACTTTTCCGTCCAATCTTAGCAACTCAACTCTGCACAATACAACGTTGTGGTCAAGATAGGCTTTAAACATAACCTAGTCTTGTTGCCCCGTTGATAAAGCTGGAATAATTCATAACTTTGTCAACGTCTCTTCTCAAAGGTAAAGTGCACTTCATCGCTACTCTCCTAAATAGTGAAATTATGATTTGAAGATACTTGTGTGACCCTAACCTTTTTTCAGGTTAAGGGGGCAGACCTGTGAAATACGAGGGTCTACAAGAGTTTGGAAGACATTTTATTTTAAAAAATCTACGAATCGCAGCGTTATAAACGAAAGACCCTTTTCATAAGAATAAATTGGGCTACAATTTGGCGTATGCACATACAGTGCACACCTCCGGGAACCCGGTCTTCTTGGCCACGAAGTGGACGGTTGCACCTCGTCGTGGCGTGCACGATTTGGACCGAACAGATGGACCTGCGACAATGACAAAATTGGTCATTTACTCCTAAGAGATGCGGCTATCGCGTGACGAGAGCGTTTTTCGATATTTCACTTCCAAGGTACCGGAAATGGGCAAAATGTGTTCAAATTTTGACCCCATTTTTTTTACCAAAACTTTGACATTTTTTAAGAAATATGAAAAATTAAAAAATTTAAAATCGCTCTCGTCATGCGATAGCTGCATCTTTTAAGAGTAAGTAACATTTTTTGTCGTTGTCGCAGGTCCATCCGTTCGGCCCAAATCGTGCACGCCACGACGAGGTGTAGACCTCCACTTCGAGGCCAAGAAGACCAGGTTCCCGG